TGATGTGATCTTATTTTCCGACACCGCATAACAGTATCATTAAGTGTAGACCATTAAGTCAGTCTTAAACAGTTTCTATTTTTATCAATACCAGCCATCTCAATCCTGTTTAAGGGACTAAATAATAGCTACTGTGATTTCCACATCTACTTATATATTACATATATGTGTTTTTTTCAGTACCAAATCTCTTGACCTAGTTATTCAATATGCAAGCCATGTAAATCTCACACAAGTCCCTTGATTCCCTTGGAATTTACTGCTCCCGCCAGGAAAATAACGCCACCTATATCCTTACAGGCCTTGGAGGCAGCAGATTCGCAGCCCTGGTATCAAATCAGCAGCCTCCTCCAAACCAGCCCAACACACAGTACCGGAGGTTCCACTCCATCTTCACCTCAGGAACATGGAGTCCCCTTGGCAAGCGAAACGGCATACACACTGCCCCTGAGGAATCACAGGCATCCTCTGACAGAGCCAACGAGGAAGAACCAGAAATACATGCAGAAAAGAAAAGTGCTGTGTTTGCTTCCCACGGTTGGGGTGCTGGAGGCTCCTCCACACCCAGGAAGCAACTATGGATTCCAGCAACCAACAGCCTGAGGTCCTTGATGTACCCACAAGTCATGAGCTTGAGCGAAGGCAGCTGGAAGAGTGATCGTGCAACAGCTGGCCCTCAGAGACAGGTGTCCAATTTTCAGGTTGCTGGTGCATCTCAACAACGAAAGCCTCTCCTGCACCTCTTTGTCTCGAATGGCTGGGGACCCATGGGGAGATGAGGTGCCTGTGCAAGAATCCCTCGCACCATACGGATAACCAAGCCTACCCTCGACATTAACTAACCCTATCAACAAGCTTTCTAGCATCATCCAGAGGTGTCTAGCCTGGCCACACCTCAAGTGATTTACAGAATAAGTTTAATTCATTCTTAATGGTTTATATTGTGTCTATTTGCAATATATAATTACCTGTCACATCATACCTAATATCATCAGAAATGTTAAATACCTTTAAACAACTGTATATTGTTTTCTTAGAAATCAAATGGCTGCTACCCAGGAATATCCTTCCCACATATGAAAACAAAGCATTACCTTTACAAGTCTTCAGTCTCAAAACTCATTAGATTATCACTGAAAAACACTTGGGAAAATGATGCCGAATTATAATCTAATCAACTGACAAAGGCACATGTTGAAATACCACTGACATAAAAATGCTATCCATTACTAGACAACATTTTGCAGTGCAATGAGCAATGTGCAAATCCTGAAGCTACCTCCAAGCCTGTGGTTTACCTGCTGCATTGCATTCTACAGCAATGAAGTGACAATACTTCATTACTCAGAGCTGAACGTTAATGAAACTTAACTTTTCAATGCATAAAAATATCAATAAAAAATATAAAAGCAGATAATATTTCATTAGGCATCCTATGTCTTTTAGAGCTAGCTGATTCTTAAAAAAGTAATCTAAATTGTATTTGCAATTAAGTTTTGGAAAATATGGAAAACCATCATTTAAAAAATCGAAACACCAGCCTGATAATTAGTAAATAAAATAAAATAGAGAAACATTTAAACAAATACATTGACAAATTGAATGAATGCAATGAATGCATGAATGGATGAACGGTTGAATCTATAAACAAACAAACAAACAAATAAATAGATAAATAAATACATGGACATCTTGGAAAATTCTATAATATTTAATGTACAATACTTAAAGGAAGGTCTAAACATAAAATCAGATATTTAATTCAATTTTCTGTCTTTATCCTAAGAAAATTAAACATGATTGTTTAACAAAGTTTCTTAGGGCTATTATATATATAAATTTAGCAAAAAAGTAAACAACTTGGGAAAAAAAAACAATAAAAAAATAAAAATTGGTAGAGGTGTAAATCACTATTGACAAACCTCTGAAAATGCACAAGAAATAGATTCCCAAACATAAACAAAACATCGGGTGAAACTGCAAGAGCCAAGTTTCGCTTCTTCCTTACTGGAGAAATATATTTGAGAGAGAACTGTAGTCACGAGCTTTCCTTGCATAAAATTTGCCATCTATATTACCAAAACGTACACTCCCATTGATTCCAGTGGCAATCCATGCTGTATGATTTCCCGATATGTATCCTATGCAAATACTAAAAACAAATATAATGCCAAACTATTATACCTTTGAAAGTATTACTGTTACTGAGAAAGGATCTATACCCTGTATATGATCTATACACAAATGGAATCACTGGAAAAACCGAGATAGAGCTTGTTCTCAAACAACCATATAATCTAAATAATAATAATAAATGTTATTGAAATACCTCTTTTAACATGCACTGGTGATCTAAAGAAAGAAAGCCAGTATCATACAGAAACAACAGTATTCTTGCTGTAACAGATAATGAATTCAAATGAAGTCTCTACATCCAAAAGAATGAAACTTTGTACTTACCATTCATTTCTTTCATTGCTCTAATGTAGTCCTGGGGATC